TTCCCTATGAATTGGTGTATGGTCATGAAATTGAAGTCACATGTAAATAGTTCAGAGCTGTTACAGAATTGGAGCTAAGCTGTTCCTTTCTTGAATGAGTTGATGTAAACGAGACTGACCTGTTATGTTACAGAGCTGTGGTTTCCTGTAATTGCTTTGGAGTGTATGAAGTGAGAATTGTCCAAGTTTACCACTGTCTGTACGTCTATAGCTGTAGTTTTAGAAGATGGAAATGTTAGTAAAATATACAAGCTTTTCTTTAGCCCCTGTATTTTTCCAACCTCCTTGGGTAGTGCTCCTTATTTAAGAAGTCAGTGAGAAATAGAAGAGAAAGTGAAGATTTTTTTGTTTTCTTTTGCTCTCTGTGCTGGATCTCTCTGACTAAAAAGCCACACTGATGTTTACTTGTAGGTGTTTTCCCAAGGCAGATCTGCTGCTTGTCTGTTGTTGCTACCATATGTCCTGTCTCTGTTGATCTTTTTCTTTTAGCTGAACTGTTACAGACTCGACTTGATTATCTACTTAGTAATACAGCATCCAGCACAGTCACACTGAACTCTTTATAGCATGGGGGTGATGAAACCACAATTCTTTTATGGATCTTAAAAACTCCTTGGCTATAGGAGTGACTGGAGGCTACAGTAAATACCTTCCCTGAAAGGTGTTGATGTAGCACAGTTACAGCGTGACAGTCAGTGCCACATATGTCTGTGAGTCCTGAAGACAGGCTGAGAGAGCAGGGGATGTTCAGCCTGGAGAAGAGGAGGCTCAGGGGAGACCTCATCACCCTCTGCAACTCCCTGACAGGAGGTTGGAGTCAGGTGGGGGTTGGTCTCTTCTCCCAGGCAACCAGCAGCAGGACAAGAGGGCACAGACTCAAGCTCTGCCAGGGGAGGGTTAGGTTGGATATTGGGAAGAGATTTTTTTCCAGAGAGAGTGCTCAGGCATTGGAATGTGCTGCCCAGGGAGGTGGTGGATTCACCATCCCTGGAGGTTTTCAAGCTGAGACTGGATGTGGCACTTAGTGCCATGGACTAGTGACCACGGTAGGGTTGGACTTGATGATCTTGGAGGTCTTTCCCAGCCTGGTTGATTCTATGATTCTATGATCTTAAAATCCAAAAGTTTATGAAGCAACTTGCTTCTTGGGTACCAGTTGCAATTCATGTGCCATTGGTTCTGTAATCATGAATGTTCATTAGCATCAAGCAGAATAGATGATGGAATTTATTTTTGAACATAATTCTGCTGTTAAAATAAAAATGGCAAATGTCTGAGTCCAAGTCTTTTTCAAATGTTCTCCAGTGCTTCATGTTGAGCATTTGCTTTTTGCCATCTGCTATTTTCAGTATTTGTCAACACATGTATGCTTAGCATCTTGAATGAACAGGCAGATGTAAACTTCCAAAGCTAAAAAGAGTTGGAGAACTTGCCATATGTCATCCAAAAGATAACCATATTTGCAGTCAAATCTCAGGATTGACCTTAATAATAGGAAGTAGTAATGCAGTTAAAAATGGTTGAGTTGGAGCTTCGTAAGAATGACTTCATAATGGCAAATTGATTTAAAACTGATGAATTTTTCAGACAGAACCCCTTTTGTCAGTTCTAACAAATTAATGGTGAAAAAGGTTCATAGCTCAGGACAAAAGTATACACAGACACCATGAATGTGTTTGTGTACCATTTTGCCATATTTTGCTTGGCTGTACTTAGTTTTTTCATTTGGTCAGCACACAGCATGTGTTGAATTATTTTGTTGTGGATAATGCCAATTCTGTCTTGTCAGTTCCATTCTTAATAGTATTAATTTGATACAGAAAAAAGCTTTGACTTTTTGTAGGCATTTATTTTTTTCCACACCTTCAAAGTGTTTAAGCATCTTTAGGAAATTTCCTTGAGACTTAATGAAACTGTTGTTCCATTTCAGAACGTGTATGAAATTAACAGGGGATAAAATGAGAGTAGCACAAATAGGACATTGGGGGGGGAAAGTGACATTTTCTTATTATTGGCACAATTTTTACATCTCCTTTTGGTCTAGCACTTTGTGGTCAAAGAATGAGTTGCTAGATTGTTTTCAAATTTTCAGGTAACTGCTCTGTATCTAAAAACTGCTTTTTCCCAGGAAAAAAGGCACCAAACACATAAGCTTTGTCTAGCTGAAAATCAGGTGTCTGTTCCTGTTGATGCTGATGATATTATAGGATACCTTTCAACTGGAAAAAAATTATTGTGCAGGAAAATTATATGCTGCTGTTACAATGTGTGCCCTAATCTTAAAGAAATCCATGTAATTTGAGGCAGTATGCAAGAAGCTCTTATTTTTAATATGGTAAGGAAATAAAATGTGCCATTTAACACAGAGTGTTACAAAGATTATCTCTTTTCTCAGAAGGGGTGGTGTGTGTATGGAAATGCAGAGTGGTAAGGTGCTCACTTTGTCTGTTCAAAAGTGGAGAAAAATTGAAAACAGAGCATAGGTGAGAATGACTCTCAGCAGCAATAAATCAAGATATTCATAGAAATTTAATTTAATGAAGCAAAATAACTTCAAGGAGAGATTATTCCGTGGAGCATGTTTAGAGGAAAGACATATGACTTTCTGGAGAGCAAAAAATCTGTTGTATCTTGTCAGATTTATGTGCTCATCTAAATTCTGCCCTCACAAGAAACACAGGGGGTGTCATAAATGTGAAGTTAAGTACCTGCTTGCTTGCTTGTTGTTGTTTGAAGTTTCTTGCAAAAATAAATTCAGTATTTCTCCTGCGAGGACCTGCCTGCTGAGGAACTTCATGCTGAGTGGGAGCTGAGAATTTGAGTTTTGTACTGGAGATTCCTGTGCTTTGTGCTCAGCAGTGCTCAGGAAGTTGGGGGTATCAAAGTAGTTGACTTCTTGAGCCTGCAGAAGGGAATTTGTCTTGCACGTGGTGGTGCCAGCTGAAGGCTCCTGCCCCTGGCTGCCTGTCCCTGCCCTCCTGCCAGATGTTCCTCAGCCAGGAAATTGCATCCTGTGGGTTTTCCTTCATGCACTACTGTACCTGTCAGCTGGAAAAGTTCGTGCCCATTTTTTCAGCAGTTTAAGCAACCCTGGTCGGTTTGGTTTTATGGAGTTTTTTTTGTTGATCAGTTGTGTTTTTCTGTAATACAGTAGATGATTATGGGGTTTGCTTTCCCATGAAAGTAGCATTGCCTAAATAGTCTCCTAACCATTTGTGTATCTGACATTATTGTATGACTAAGGCCACATTAAACAACAGAACATTGTTTAATGTGACAATTTAATAGAGTGTAAATTGTTAGCACAGGAGACAAATTTAAAAAACTTTAAAAATTGCCTTTATATTTTTATTTCTACCTTTGTAGTCCTGTAAACTTTAAAATGTTTTATTTTTTCCCCCTCTTTGCTCGTTTTTGACAGGTTTTCTGTTGCTTGATCTTTTGCTGTACAGTGTAGTTTCCAAAGGGCTGTTTTAA